AAAAATGTTGACATTAAGGAGTGAAGTTCCTCCTCCTTTTTCCCTTTGTGGCCCTGTACCTGGTGTTCACAGGTGAGCATTCATGTCAGTGTCCGAGTTCTCAGTGTGGAACAAATCAGATGAATGTGCAGTTTCTGAAGCAAAAACCAGAGACTCTTTGTCTTTGCAGTTATGAATGACATCATCGCAACCATGTTCAATAAAAAATTTATGGAAGAGCTGTTTAAACCACAGGAACTCTATTCCAAGAAAGCTCTGCGCACAGTGTACGACCGGCTGGCTCATGCTTCCATCATGAGACTGAACCAGGCGAGCATGGACAAGGTAAAGGAGCCCCTGCCCGGTCCTGGCCGTGCTGTGCTTCCACAGTTCACCAGTTTCTGATGGTGATAATTAGTGTGTGGCTTCACATCACTGTAATTCCGAAGCATTTTGTAACAGCTTTCTTTGTAAAAATGATTCTCAGCCAAGGCAGCTTTGGTGAGATCTCTGGTAGTATCAGATACTTCAGAACTAAATATTTCTGCTTTAATAGCTACATGTTTGATTTTAAGAGGTTCAGTAATATATATGTTAAAAATATACACCTATGTGTGTGTATAAATAAATGTGTTCCTGTATTGACACTATTTTGCAGTTGCAGGTGTTGGAATTTTTCCTGCAAACAGTATATCCAGTGGAGAAATTTGAAAAATAACCAAACAAAAAAACCCTCAAAAAACAGTAGGAGCTTGGTTACCTGTGAGACCTCTGCCAGGTGTCGGTGTCATTGTCAGGAGGGCTGACAGTGTGATTGCAGAGATCTTATTTTCTCAGCAAACAAAGCTGAAATGGTTCTTCTTTCTTGACAGGCTGAGAGAGTTGGGGCTGTTCAGCCTGGAGAAGAGAAGGCTCCGGGGAGATCTTATAGCGGCCTCCCAGTACCTGAAGGGGCTACAAGAAAGCTGGGGAAGGACTTTTCATAAGGGCAACTAATGACAAAACAAGGGGAAATGGGTTTAAGCTGAAAGAGGGGAGGTTTAGATGAGATATTAGGAAGAAGTTCTTCACTGTGAGGGTGGTCAGACACTGGCCCAGGTTGCCCAAGGAAGTTGTGGCTGCTCCTCCCTGGAAGTGTTGAAGGCCAGGTTGGATGAGGCTTTGAGCAACCTGGTCTAGTGGAAGGTGTCCCTGCTGCTGGCAGGGGGGTTGGAACTGGATGATCTTTAAGGTCCCTTCCAATCCAAACCATTCTATGATTCTTTCCATAGGCAGGTGCCAGCCTAAGTGTCTAAATCCCTTTCTACATCAGTGTGAAATTACCTGAGCGGCGTCGCTCTCTGTGTCGTGAGGGAACCAACGTTTCCCCGTGTTACTTTCCAGCTGTACGACCTTATGACCATGGCTTTCAAGTACCAAGTGCTGCTGTGCCCTCGCCCCAAAGACATTCTGCTGGTCACATTCAATCACCTGGATGCCATCAAAGATTTTGTACACGATTCTCCTGCCATTCTCAACCAGGTGGATGAAACTTTCCGACAGCTGATTGAAGTAAGAATCCTTAGAAAAAATGGTGGGACACACTGTGGTTTGAGATTATTTTTCTTTTCCCCTCTTTCAAGCTAATCTTAGAGATTAAATACTACAGCAGTAAGTGCTGTATCAAGTGTGGAGGTTGGTGTGTTCTCAGCCTCAGAGAACCATGCAAATAACCTGCCCCTCTTTTTAACCTGAGGGAAACAAATTGGCCTCCTGGTTAGCAGCTTTTGCTCTTGTAGCTGCTGTAATTCTTTGGATAAAGAATATGAGTGTCCCAGTGAATAAAAACTTAAAAGTTCTAGGAAGTCATGAAATGTTTCCAAAGGGCTTCTGGAGGAGCAGGTGTCTATGAGACAAGTGTTATTTTTCTGCTGTCCCAGTTTAAATCAATACATTGCTAATTCAGCCAAAGTCTCCACTGTCTTCAGCAGAAATTAAATCAGACTATTAGTCACGGATAATAATTACTGATAATGACCAGCAGCCCCCCTTGTATCATTTCTGCTTCCCCTGCCACACATGTACCATTTTTGGCCAGCAGTGTTCTATGTACCTGTTTCCATCTTTACCTGGGTTGGACATGGACCTGACACAGTGGTTTTTCTTTTCCAGACCTATGGCTGTCTATCTGCTGGTGAATTTCAGCTCATCAGGCAAACACTCCTCATTTTTTTTCAGGACATGCACATAAGGGTAAGAGCCCAATGCAACTAGTCAGTAAGAATGAAAGGGAGTTTGTGGCTGGAGTCTGAAAGCATCTTGTTATAATTACCCTGTAGGTTTGGTTTTGTTGCTTATGCTTTTCAGTCATCTTGATGTGCTTGTAATTTCAGTCTTCAAAATTTCCCAAATTGAGCAGATCTACTACAATAATACTCAATAATTCAAAAATGTTATGAAAAAAGGAATCTCTACTAGTGCAGATGTGCTAGTTGATAAATATGTTTTTCATTTTAGTAGAAACTTGGTATGAAACTCAGAATCTGTCTCTAGGAAACTCTAGGAAACCTACCCCACTCTAGGCAGGAAGGCTGCAGGGTCAGAATTCAAGGAGTTCAGATCAGAAGATATGTCACTGATTTTCTCAAGGTGGAATATTCTTTTGCAGGTCTCTATTTTTCTGAAGGATAAAGTGCAAAACTCTAACGGTCGCTTTGTGCTGCCAATATCGGGCCCCGTTCCCTGGGGTACGGAAGTTCCAGGACTCATCAGGTGAGTTCTGAACCAGCACTTACACTGTTTGCAGTGCTGGGCACGTGTGGCTGCTCACGGAGGAACATTCAGTCCCAAGGGTCTAATTTGAATCGAGCTTAGACTGTCACTCGTGTTGCATGGATAGCTGGTCCTCCAGTAAGCAGCATTTAAAGGGAAGGATTTGGGACTAAGTCACCCAGCAATGAAGTACTGAGCTGTTCCTGGCATTCCCTGTTCCACTAAATCAGCTATTAGTCATTTATCCTGTAAAACAGGCATTTACCAACATGCTGAATAGGTTTTTACTCCCCTTTTTCTTGTGCAGTAAGCAGAGGAAGTTCACTACTGAAAGTCAGTAATAAAACTACTAAATATGTGTCAATAATGACTTGTTTTTAAGGATGTTTGATCGCAATGGAGATGAAGTTAAAAGAACCGAGTTCACCACTGATGGAAATTATGTTCCTCCACAAAGGGAAGGATCTTTTGATCTTTATGGAGACAGAGTCCTCAAACTTGGAACAAATATGTAAGTAATGTTTGTCCTGCATAGAAACATGAAGTACATGTTGATGGTTATGGATTTGTTCAGAAGCACATCTCCAGCCTTGTGTATTTTTGCTTCTTTCACTATTATCAGCTTGACTTTTTTACAAAGTGATGTCCTGAAACAGAACACATGCGGACAGATGCATGTAAAGAGCTGTAGAAAAGAGCAAAAGTTTGATTTATGTCTACAGCAGAGCTGAGTAAAGAGTGTTCTCATCATATTACGTGAAATGTAATTTAATTTTAACTGCATTCAAGAAATCTTTTCTTCATGTTTGTCTTAACGTGATTTTTCCATTCCAAGAAGGAGAGCAATGTTCTTTCTTACAGCTTTCACTCACATGTTTTAATGCCTCAGTACTCCATAAAACTGAGCTGTAACTTCTTCTTTCAGTTATTTACAGTCTTCAGAAAAATATCACAAAATCATAGATCCTGTGCTGCTTCCTCTGTCCCTGTGTCTCACACAAGTAACAGGCTGCTCTCCCTCTCGTGTTTTTCCCTCTAGGTACAGTGTTAGTCGGCCAGTAGAGACCCACATGTCAGGATCATCTAAAAACTCAGCATCCCATGCAAAGGTCAGTGTTCTGTTCCCATCACGGGTTAATCTGCTACCTGCTCTGTGTCACTGGGTCCTGCAGCCGGTCAGACGTGGTGGGATTGTGTCCTTTGAGCAGTTTGACCACGTCCACCAGGTTTTAATTCTGCCTCCCTCATCTCTTAATAGATGAGGTCACTGAATGAAACACCTACATCCATCATCTCCAAATCATTTACTGTACAGCTGCACTGTCTTCCCCTTTGTTCATCTCCTTTCTCAGGGAAACAATAACCATCTTTTTAGTCTACAGTTTCAGGATAACTTCAGGGGAACCTATTCTGTTGTTCTTCTCAGAGCCCCATCCAATCCTCCACTGTCCCTTTCAAGCTAGGGGAAGGGCACGTTTTTCTAAAGAATCTTACACACAGGCTTATGCAATTCCTATTTTAATCTCTTCAGAAAACAGAAAGCTGGTTTTACAGATTTCTCAGCTGTTCAATTTAGCTGGAAAATTATCTTGTCCTGGGTCTATAAATTCAAGCAACCATTTTAAATTTATAGCTGATAATTACTAGTTATCTGCACAATCTGTACCATTAACAACACAGAAATGTATTTATATCACTCTGAAGAACATTTATATCAGAAAACACAAAAATTACTACAGTCCTCATCTCCCTGGTAACCTGACCAATGAACCCATTGCTGTTTTGTGCAGGAGAATATAGTCCCTAACCCTCTTGCTAAAGAAGAACTGAACTTTTTGGCCAGGCTGCTGGGAGGTCTGGACACGAAGACAGCTGGTGGCAGTGAGACAGGATTTCGACTGAATTTGTTCAGAACCGACGAGGAGGAAGAGTATGCTCGAGTCCTTCTTGGTTTGGGGTTTGTGATGTGGTGCCACGTGGACAGCCCTGGAGACTAAAGCTGCCCCTTAACAGTTTTAGGGACAGAATAGCAGGTTTTTTAGCATTTTTTAAAAATTCTGGTCCAGATGGTTCAGGAACAACAGAGGAGCAGTTTCTCTGCCTTGACCTTTTTATTATGGCTGTTGGCAAGGAGAGCCATTTCCCTTAGTGGTGTCTCCTGAGATGTGTGGCCTTGTGTTCTAAGTGACACTGGCAACCAGCAGCAGGTGACATCTGTGCTTAGCTCTGTCCCATGGAACAGAGACATCCCTTCAGCCCTTTCAGCTCTCCTCTCCCCCAAGTGCATCTCCACATTCCAGAGATAAGAATAGAACTGATGGAGGTGATGAGCCCCACAGGCTGGGACACCATAGCCCCCTCCTGGCAGGGAGCACAAGCAAAATGAGAATTCTCATTAGGTGAGCTGCAGAATGTTTGTACCTACTTTTAATCTTAACTACAGAGATACTCTTGCTGTTCTACACTTAGCATAAAAAAAAACTCTATGACAGGGAAAAGTCTGCAAAGTGGGGTCAATCCATTAATTTGCTTAGTAGGAATAGGGATGTTGTCCAAACTTCATGCCTACAGGAGCCTCATGAAGTCTGATTTTTATATTTACTTGTACATCTTCATGAGATTAAGCATTCTTTTCCTGTTTTTAATCAAGACACGCTGCACTGACTAGACCAGAGGAGTTATCTTACAAGGTCATCGACATAGAAGCCACACAGGTACGTACAGTGCATTTCAGATCTCTGATTCTCAGCATGCCTGCCTTGCTGAGTTTCACCCAAAAAACTTTAAAAGTACTTCTTTTTCCCATTTCAGTTAAGCTCATAAATAAGTCACAGCAGTATTTTCTGCCCAGCCTGCGCATTTGGTGACTATTTACTAAGAGAACTTGAAAGTGACAGATATTAGAGCAAGTTTTTAGCTGCATAGGATGGAGGAACTGTTAGTGGGGTCGTTTCCCTGCTTGTGGTTACAGCTGAACACCTGCAGCCCTTTTTAAAGGGGTTCACTGGCATCAGCTGGCAGTGGGGCATGTCCCAGTACCCCCCAGTA